AAGCTGGGGTAACCTGGAACATAACAATGCTACAGTTCAAGCAATTTGTTTAAACAAGACAATGGCTTCACACCAGCAGGGTAAACTTCCATTAGCTTTCCTTCCTTTCCCCTGGCTCAGTCTAGGACACCAGAGCAAGCACCCCAAACGTTTTTGACTGATGTGCTGTGAAATCAACCCTCCCTGCTCCAGACACCTGCCACTGAAGCAGCTACCTTCCCCACTGCTGGCTCTCAAGGTCTCTAAGACACTGAGACCTGTAAGAATAAATATCCAGAGATGGCAGCCGTGACCCATTTATTACCGCATGCTGCTGCAGGGCACAGCTGAAGAAGGCAGGGCAGAGCAAAAGCACTTGCTGCAAAGGGAACAAGCAGAGCAAACCCAAGTGTCCTTGGAAGAAGCCCTCTGCTTGCAGCACTGCTCCAGCTCTGTTTCTCCAGCTCCCAGTTGGCAAGAGACAGCTTAGACCAATCATGGATGTTCAAGTACTGCCATGAGGCCTCCCCTCATATCACTGCTGGGAGGTAAAAAAAAAAAAACAAAAAACCCACAAAGAAAGCCCACAGAGGCCAGAAGGCAACCCCAAGCTGGAGACATGGACAGAGAGGCCACAAGAGTCTCATGCACTGAACAAGCCGATAAAACTGCCCTAGTGCAGGTAAATGTATGTGGAAAGATCCTTTTTGACAACAAAAATCACAGGTACCTTTACCCAGAGCAGGGGGTGCACACACACATGCAGCACAGTCAGGAAGGAGAAATGCCAAGGAGGGAAGCAGAGCACGTACACTAACAGCACAAAGCACAGCGCTCTAGCCTGTAGCTGAACAGGGCCGGGAAGGTAGCACCACGACAAGGCAGATGGGATCCACATCAACACTTATCAGTTCAGTCTTCACATTTGCCGATTAAGTTCTGCTGGCACTGAGCAATTGTACGTGTCCTCAGACTACCTCCTCACCCCCCTGCACAGCCTCCCATGGCTGCAGCCCGGCCCCGCTCTGGTCACTGGGTATTCTGATCAGAGCATCAGGCTGGGGTGACATTGTCCCCTCCTGAAGAGGGACGGTAAGCGCCTGCAAGCCTGCTCATTTTATTCACTGCACAAGCACATTTCCAACTGGGATAATCTCCATTAAACCATCTGCGCTCCCATCTTCGCTCGGCCCGCACCCGCTGGGCTGTCTGCGATACTGCAGCATCTGTGAACCGGCAAAAGCGGATGCTGCATCCCTTTCCCAATCAGCTAAAAAAACCAGCAGAGACTCAGACAGAACAGATGCACCTGGTAGCTTTGACGCGCTACCGAACCAGGTTACCAGGACTATCTGTGCCAGTCCCTCTTCTGAAAGGTGTACGGTTCCCTCTGAGAATTTTAGCCATTTCCTTTCCATCATGGGAAGATACCATGCCCCAAATTGCCAGAAGAGGAGGGCTGAGAAGAGAGTAGAGGTTTTAGCTACAACAGCTGCCCTGGTGCAGAAGACAAGCGCTGTCTGCCAGGTCATGAATGCATTTTGGATCAGACACTCTGAATGGCTGTTGATCCCCAGGATTTAATCTCTTATTTATCTCAGTATCTGCTTTCTAGAAACAGGGACTATCATGTCACATTCCTACATCACTGGAACAGAAAGACAAGAAAGTGTTATGATGAGAGATCTGAAACTTAAATCTGCTGCCCCTTCCCCACAACCTACACAGAAGACGTCCAGCTGACCTTACAGAAAGCATGAAAGAGCAACTGCATTGAACTGCTAATTCAGCATGGAGAGAACTCAACCCTGTCCTTAGCATTGCCATCAAGACAGCCAAGGGACTCAGGAGTCACTTCAGCTGTCGAGGACGTGACAGTGTGGTGATGGATCTGAAGCAAAGATAGAAAGACATCGATCTGCTTTAACTGTAATCAGTGCTTGCCTTCAACAAGGTCACTGGGCCATCTAACACATGCCTTTCTTCCAGCTGATTTGCCCTGCATGGTCTTGCCCTCACAGGCGTGGAACAGCATGGCAAGGCCCACCTTTTAAACCTCCCTGGACTCCTACAGTCCCAAAGAAGAGGCAAATATTAGCAGCAAGTGATGGGACAGGAGCAAAAGTCTGTTTCAGTATTTCCTCTACTTGCCTTCACTTATTAGTTTTGCAAGCCTTTGTTTTCCAAGGCAATTTACAAACAACAAGCAAGATAACCATTTGTTTAGACAAAGGTTAATAGGGGCCTAGTGGTCTCTGAAGACTCTGCAGTCACACTTAGGTGTGAAATTTTGGAGTAGCGATAAAGATGCTGCACAGACAAGCAAGTCTCAAGAGAAGAATTTAATCTGTCTAAATATTCTGATTATGTACATAGTTTTCAGCTTCCATTCACAGTGATCAGACCAGAGACAGCTTCCAGAGGCCTTTTTAGACAATAAACCGTGAAATAGGATTTTTACGTCAGTCATTATTCCCCTCTCCACCCCCAGCTCAAAGAGTCAATGTTTGAAATGGTTTTTATTGAAAAGAAGACACAGCATTGGGAGAGAGAGTCGACAGGAGGAAGGCAGCACAAATCTTTGGCAGACTGGTGGTACTTGGCAAAAGAGAGCTCCCATTGGCACCATTTTCCCAGAAAACCTCAAATAGATTATTTCTCCTGGTATCCAAAACAGGCTTTCTGTGGAGTCATGCACAGAGTAAGAAATATAACACTACATCTAGAGACCTGCTTCACTGGAACAGGCAAAAGGTTCCAGTCACATCCACCCATCTTGCTCCTAAAAGTCACTTAAACCTAAATACAGTACTAAGACAAGGTGAGAAAACTAGAGGCAGGCATCTAGGACAAAAGGGCTGATCCAAAAACTCAGCTGCTTTCTTTTGGGATTGCAGTGTCCATCTGTCCCCTTGCCTGCAAAAAGAGACCTTGTTTGTCCACTGAAACGTGGAACCTGAATTATTCCAACAAGCAAGAATTCAAAAAAGAAAAAGTCAGGAAAACAGAGCAAGTTCTTTATGAGTATGATCCCTTGAGACCAAGAGAATAGCTATGCTCTTGATGCATCCCACCCCTCCTCGCTTTCATGTTGCCTCTTCCCCCTCAGACAGGCAGGTTTCAGCTTTTCTTGCATGTTGAAGACTCCACTTCTATACACAAGAAGCTTGGACAAAAATTGTAGCGATAGTTACAGTGTTTTGCTATTACATTTTTTGCTTGAAGTCAACCGACTTCCAACCCCTTCTCTCCCATCCTCAGGTTTTTCTCGCAAAAGTTTAAGAGCTCTAACTACTGGTCACTAGTTGTCCACACTGCAAACAGGACAGCGGGGGAAAAACATTAACCAGCACAGTCACTTCAGAGACAGCCCAAACTTGAACACTGTGTCAGTACTGTGGTCTGAATGTTTTATAAATTATTGCATCTCTTATCCCTCTTTAGGGAAGTCGTCATCATCTCTGTTTTCTGGAGAACAAAACCATACAGGTCAAGCAGGGAGTGGGACCAGCAGAGCTGGAGGTAGAACAAGTCCCAGTTTACTCCCATACTCATCCAGTAAGAAGCATTGGAGACCTTAACAGAAAACCACAACTCTGAGGTAATGCTGACACCCAGCAGTCTCCTGAAAACAGTGATTGTGGGAACCGCCCCCCTCCAGTAACCCACTACAGACTGATATATTCTCCCACAAACAATCCCTCTCTGCTTCTAAGGGGGAGCAGAGAAAAGCACCAAAACCCTTATCTCAATTACTGAGCAGGGAAGAATTAACCACTACCAAAGACTTTGCAGATATTTATTCCGCAAATCCACAAGCGGGGACAAGCAGAGGGAAAAGCTCCTCTGAGAGTTATGTACACAGACGGCAAGTGTAATGCTTACACAGTCTTAATTCTTTTAATTTTTCAAGTCCTAACAACAATTATCTTCATGAATTATAGGCATAATATCCGAGATGCAGGCAGTAATTAATGCATGTCTGCCTTTTCTGACTAGCTCCTTCTGCTGGGTCTGGGAGAGTTATTGAAATTCAGGAAGGAAATCTTCAATCTTCTGGAAGTTTTAAAGAAACAGACCACGACACAATTTAATAAAGCAATAATATTTCTCTTAAATAATTAACTAGACTTCGACATTCACTAATATTTCTGAGGCCCAGCTCTTACTTTTGCAATAACGCTGGAACAAGTGCACTCAGGGATGTGATCCACTGCATGTTCAAAATGTACTAACTGCAAAATTGCTTCAAATAGTCTTTGCCCCTGGATTTTTCCCCTGGCCTTACATGCAAGGCCACCTTCACTCTTTTTTCTTAAAATTCTCACTGAGACCCTTAACAGAAGCCACACTATGCAGCCGTTGCATACCTCCCTCTTCTCGTTTTGCCCTACTGACACCTGTCTCCAGGTATGAGCGCTCAACCCTCCCCAAACTCAAGAGAAGCAGTGTTTATCATACTTCGGGAAAAACCTCAGTTTCAGAGCATAACCACAGCACATTAACAGATGCAATAGACAACTCTAAACCAGACAAAAAGCTATTACTAAAGCAGCATATAGCACTGGATGTTGTTTAAGTGGGCTGTTTCCATCATCTCTCAAAAAGCAGATTCTCCTGCAGCATAAACAACTTTATTCACATAAAGAATGCACTCAAGAGAGCTTAATATACTCCAGTATATTGACAACAATTACCTCAAAGCAACAATTACTTAGCCAGCCACTGAAAGAAAGCCCACCCTTTGACATGGACATATCACCTGCTTAAGCAATATAAAACTACACAAGAAGGACAGAACTCTACTTAAAATCCTAAGGATCATTCTGATGGCCACCAAATTAAAACACAGCCACGTCACCAAGAATAGAGAGGAGATATTTGGCCAAAAAGGTCAGACTGAACCAAAAGCTTCACACTTCTGTTGTTCACTTGAACCACATCTCTACAGCAAAAAATCCCTATCCACTAGAAGCAAAGTTTAAACAGAAATAATGGTCATCCCAGTTTCAGAAACTCACCAGATACAGTCTGTAAGCGTCAATCCGCCGAATTGGCCCCCAGCACTTGTCCGTGTCATTATACTTTGTGTCATCTCCAACACTGCAAGAATGGTTGCCAGTGGCACTGCTGCGAAAGGAGGGAGAAACAAAAGACAATAATTAACTCCTAGCAGACGTCTTCCCCTCTCCTGCATTCAGGAAAGAAGAATGATCAGAGCCCTGAAGTGTCCATTCCTCCTCTCCCTCCCTGAACACCCTCCCTCCTTATATTTTCTAGACTGTGTAACAGAGCAAGTCACTGAGTACCATACATTTAAAGCGAAATTCTTGAATTGCCTGCAGTTATTTACAAGTTTGGTCATCAAGCTAGCAAGTTTAGGTCATACATGGACCACTGAGGTTTTCCATTTCAAGTCATGAGTCCAAATCTAGCCCAGCCCAGGTCTGATCAAACCAATCTCTTTCATTATCTGTTTCCGGTCTCAGTCCAGAGCTAAGTCCATGTAACGTCACTACTCGCTGGTCACAGGCTTGGTAAGCATCACACCTCTCAGCTCTTATACAAAGAGACAGAGAAGCTAAAATATTGCACAGAGTATTGCAATCAAACTATTGAGCAACAAGTCCCATGTCTCCAGTCCTGAAGCTGGAAGTACTTCACACCTGAGGACTTATCTGAAATCAGGTCAGCTACTTTTCACACAAGCAGCAGGCACTCAGGTGGGGAATATAAAACAACATCACCTTCCCACCCACAAGTGATGAGCTGTCCTTGAGTCATTTCTCCACTCTGTTCTTCAGAAAGTAGAGCTGGTCCCAGTCAGACTTATCACCCCATCAAATCCAAAAGCCTGCTTTCTTCTCTGTTAGCGCACAACCCCACAGCAGAAAGCACACTTACCAGGTCACTTGCATGAGAGAGACCGGTACAGCTGCTGCATAGATTGCCAGGTCTCCGTAGAGGTAGATAATTATGCAGAAATAGAAGAGGTTGACACCCACTGCAGGAAAAAGAAACATTGTACAGACACAGCAGAGTACACAGGGACTCTTGAATTCTGCACTTCAAATACACAAAACTTTTTCAAGGTCTTAAAAATAAATCACTATTTGCCTCCATAGTTTACTTCTTCCTGCAGCAAACTCCACCCAAGGGTCACATCAGCAGCTTAGGGAACTTAACCACAGCACAGGAACTGACAGGACAGAAGGTGCCTCAGAGCTCAACTCTGCCTCCTTCAATACCTGGCCCTGACACTAGGCTGTCAAGCTCATCCTCCAGGTGCTGGTCAGGACCAAGTCTCACATAAGTCATCTGCCAGATGAAGCTGCCAACTTGGAACAGCCATAGGCAAACATCTAGCTGATGCTCACAGACTTGGTGTGAGCGCAGCTTGACGAACAGTGAAATGAAGAGAGAAGATGCTTTTAGTCTCTGCCAATTCCAAACCCTCTGCGTGCAAACCTGCAGGACCTTCACATTAGGGATTTGGCCCTGCAGACCTCAGGTTCCACATGGTTGAAATGGAGCTGCTTTGGGAGATTCCTTACCTTCAGCAACGTGAGCCAAGGTTCAAACCTGCAAAGCTTTAAAACTTTGTTTCTACAGCCCTCTTATGCTACTGCCACAGTACATGCTGTTCCTACCCCATTCTTGGGTGGTTTTTTTCTTTTTTTTTTTTGTTTTAAAGCTTGCCCTGCCTTCACCTATGCGATTAAAAAAAGTTTTACACAAGTTAATTGGGTGCACAGAACAGCCTTACTGGGGCACAAGAAGACACTGCTGTGGAGAGCTAAAATCTGCAGGGATAAAGCAATGCTTGCTGACACCCCGGGATTCTTTTCTTCCAAGCAAGTCAGTATAAATCTCACCAAGGAAAAATAAACTGGAACATATTTTAGTTCAGACAGAAGTGAGCTACAAAACAAAAAAACCCCTCAGATTTGTTTCATTTATGAAGTTGACATTGAAGGAACCTGCCCATACTTTCAAGTTGTGATGCCACCTGATGCTTAATCCTAATGCAGCTTGGGCAAATCAATTCACCTCTCCAAGCCTCGCACGTGACAACTATCAAACAAGGACAGCATTACTCCAGGAATGCGGAGACTAATATTTCTACGGTGCTTGGATGCCCCAAAGTTTTACCATGTTTTGGCATCATACTGCCCCTGGATCTCTGGATGTCAGGAAACATCAATAGGCATTCGCCTTGGTTTAAATAAATTATTCAATATGCTGAGCCTACTTAGCATAAAACATTCCTAAAAAAGGGCTGTATTAGGAAAGCAGCAAGGAAACTTTCCTGCTTCTGCAAAGCAGCACACTAAGGCCAGTACTCTAGAGTTGTTCCTCGTTTGTCTAAGTAGACAAATGGAGATCTTACAGAAATTGTCAGATCATTTCATATAGTTCCCCCCTTGTTTTCTTCCTCTGTGAAAGATTTAAGACGGCTTCACAGTTAAGGAGTCTCTGCATTGTTCTGAAGATGGCAATAATCTTCAATGGCAATAATAATACCTACCAGGTACCCACCAGCACATGTTATACCTCCGTTCCAGTGTCAACTTCTCTGTCTGTGGGAAGTCCAAGTGACAGTCCTCTCCCAAACTCATCCTCTCAAAGGCAGGAAGACTTTAGCATCAGTTTTTTTCTAAACTGCTACTGACCCTCCCTGATCAATACTTTCATTACTGGACATAAAATGGGGAAAAAAAAAAAAAAAATCAATGACTTCCTGTGGGGAAACAGCATGATAGATGTGGCCAGAATCCATTATTGCAATAAATGACTGCTCGGTCCCAGAAGAAAGCACCCAACATTGGGAGGGCGGGAAGGAAAGAGGAAAAAAAAAAGAAAAAAAATGGAAAGAGAAAAAAAAAAAAAAAAGAGGCAGTTCTTCAGAGCCAGCTCTTTTGAAAGAGCACACAGGTCCTTCACAGCCTAAACCTAAGTCAGCTCCCTTTAAGAAAGCAGGCAGTCTGAAATTGAGATTTATCCCCAGCTTACCTCCTAGGACTGCAGATTCAACTCCTGTCAGATTATTGAAAATAAAAATCACTCACGAGAAAGGAACAGAGAACTCGCTAGAAATCAGAGGCTTTGAGGTCTACTGCAAAGCTTTCACCGGCCTTCCCTCTGAAGACTGTAAAGTCCTCAGACACCTTGGGTTTGGATCCATGCTTTGTATATTGTGAGCAAAAAACAACCCAGACATTTGCTAGCTGTGAAACTGCAGAGGTTGGCGCTTGAGGCTGGGACTTTGCAAGTGTGGCTCTGTTTCTCAGCCCTAGGCAGTAGCAACTGGGCACTGAGCAACTGCTCTTAATCATGGCCTTTCTGTGCAACCATCAGAAGGAAGCACCTCAGTAAGGATCTGCAGAAGGAGGTACTTAACTTGTCTCTTCTCTGCCACTGCTCAGCAGACCGGAGGCTATCTCTGAAGTAGGACTCAGCAACAGTATAGGGATGGAGCCTCACTGCTGAGCACAGAGGAAGGGAAAGCAGGAAGCAAGTTACAGCTGGCCCAGACCCTTCGCTGTGTACATCATCTCATCTGGAAGTCACAAGTTGTTTCAAGCTATGGTCTGCAGCTGTTCCAGCTGCCTTCCTGCAGAGAGATTCATTCCCTTGCATTGGGCTGAGAAGGATCCCTAACACAGAAATCAGATAACCCTGGCTAAAGAAACACGAAGAAGAGGGATTAAGATTTAGAGTACTAAGCAGTTTATATATCACTTTGCTAGAAAGTGTACATCAGTGCCTGACGGGAGAGAGGACATATATTTCCAGCACCCTCTACTGGCTGAGCAGCAGCCAGCATCAGGGCAGAGAGGTCTAGAAGGCAACTGCCCAACGCCTGGCTGGCTTTCGGGGGTCGTTACCATCTCCCCCTGTGAAGCACATGCAAAGCAGGGGCCTTCTGGAACTTGCTTATGGGAGCACTCTGCCTCCCGTGATCCCCCAGCCCCCCTGCAGGCTGAACAGGCCTCTAAAGCTGAATCCTCAGCAATACTGCTAAGCTCTGTTATATGGCGCTTGCTCTCAAAGCGCTTCCCAAATATTATTCCCCAGAGGATGATCGAGAGACAGGGAAGTGTTCACAGTGTTTTACAGATGGTAAAGCACACAAGCAAGAAAACTTGCCTAAAGTCAGAGCAACCCAGTGCTACAGGCAAGACTAGGAACAAGACATTTCTGAGTCTCCAACCCGCACTCAAGTCACCTCTCCTCTTCTCTGACTAGAAAAGTGGCAGCCCGATTATTTTGGATTATTTTGATAGTCCTAAGTGATTTAAATCTACAAAGGCCCAGAAGAGGCATGCAGGGAAATTAGGAAGTTTTTTCAATTGGACTTTAAAATCAGAAATAATATAGTTCAAAGATTTTTCACTCCTGAAGCCCAGCTGTCCTTCAGAGGCAACAGTCTTACACTGGCATAAAGCTGATGTAATGTAGTGGAAAAAACCAGCCCATCGCATCTTTGTAAGGCAGCCACTGAACAAGAGAAAATGTCACTTTCCACAAGAAATGGGGCCTGACAGGCTCAAAACTGCACAACCATGGTGTCTGATGATTTTCTGGCTCTACACAGCATTTCAAATGTACTGTTTTACAAGTTTCAGAATACCTAAGATTGTAGTTTGCATTTCTATCGCATGCAGCAATGGATACGGCTTTATTGCAGTATGGTTACAAGTTTGTTCCCTGGCATACAAGAGACATTTAAAAGCAAAAAGACAAGACAGATGCCTATCATATGCACACCAGGGACCCCTTCAGCAGTTCATGTCCCAGCAGCTCTCTTGGTGACTGCCCAGACACACGCAATTCTCAGAAGCTCTCCCCAGAAGTCTCACTCCTTCAGACTGATACTTTCGGGGTTCAGGGAAGCCCAAACATCTTATTCTCAAATGCCACAACCAAGATGGAGCTAGAGAACACTACAGCTGGGCTCTACTGCTTTAGACAGTGGAGACCACAGAGGATAGATGCAGTTCAGAGTTAGGTTAAGGGCAGTCAGAAAAGGCTGTGGGTAGCAGGTTATGGGCCCATAACCTGCAGTATTTTGGCTAGTTCCACTACCACCACAGCACCCTCCCCTTCATGCAGGTTCTGGCCCACCTGGCCCATAAATACTCTACTTTGTAGACACCACACAGGGGAATGAATACAGTCCACAGAGAGAAGGAACAACACTTTTGGATGGAATCATCACAAACTCAGGATGCAAACCCACACTGAGAAGCACGCAAAGTTAAGGAAAAGCCATACACACAACATGCAGGAGGACCTGGAGGGACTTTTGAAAATGTGAATCACTTACCTTTATTGAAGAACATGGAAGCCATCTGGCCCATTTCCACCCTCTCAGTGATTTCAAAGATATTGGGTGAGCCACGTCTCTCTGCAAGTTGAAAACAAGAAGTGTTTCAACCAGTCTCTCCAATAAACCCAGAGACTAGATTATCTGAAAACACTCAGGAAGCTCTAGCAACAGTTTGAAGGACTGTATGTATGACTCCACAGCTGCAGAGTCACTGGTCCAATTACTCTGCTGAAGTTAGTTTAAAAGTGTTTTCAAAGTAAGATGTTCTCTTCTTAGTGACCTAGAAGGAAAAGATCTTTATCAGACTGCAGAAGATGAACTGAATTCTCAATGAGTCTTGTCTTGCAAGTGCTAAGGACTTCGGGATGCGAGCACGTGGAATTACAGGTGAAATGGACAGAAGAGTCCTGCTCCACTTGCTGGAGCCCTCTGGGCAGAAAAGAGGTCTCTGCTCCAGTGAAAACATGTACTGGGAACTTACGAACTGACAAGATAGGTCGTGTCTCTGCTTGCTCGTAGCCATCTTGGAGGAGGACATCACTGTCAGATACTCCAGAGGAAGAATCCTCATCCTCATCATCCTCCTGGAAGAAAAGACCAGACCACTGCTGAGATGTCTGCTACCTACAGTACAGGCTGTGGCACCACCAATGTCACGGTCTCACTTCCAGAAACTCAAAGGAAGGTCCCAAACAGGGATGGGCAGGACATGCAAGCACAGGCAATACCAAAGAGCCCCTGGCCCGGACTTGGGATGCTATGGAGAGCAGAAGAGGGTACTAGCAGAGCAGGCTGAAGTGAGTGACAGGCTCTGCTGTCCTAGCCTAGGTCATGCACACAGCAACAGTGTCCAATTCATGTAGTGGTATGTGGCACAAGGAAGTTAGAAACTTCCGGCAGATCTGCAGGGTTGCAGAACTGGTAGAAGAAAAAATCCAAACATACGTAGTCTTAGCTAGTCAGAGCAGACAGGTCTAGCTCTTAACTCCAACCCACTAGCATACAGGCAGGGATCTAAATCAGTGCAAACAATTATGCCTCGCACTGATCCAGAAAAGCCACTAAAGCCAGGATCCAAAAAGCCACAAGTAAGTTTTACAGCAAGGACATACTTCAGGACTGTCCACTCCCTGGGATACAGCCTGACTGACAGCAAGGACATTCCAGCCTGTCACAGTTAAATGACCCGAGATCAGCAAGGACTTATAGACCTCAGCACACTCCAAACGGCACCAATCTATTGGCTGCCACCTCTCCACATTCACTGAGCAGCACTTCTGGGCAGGAGAGCACAATCAGTAAGAAATGTGAACAGCACAAGAGATTTTTCAAAGCAAGAGCAGAAAATTCTGTCTTTAATGAGCAACCCCACAGGGAACTAACAGCCATATTTTATATGGCAAAGTTAAGTACAGTAGAAATTTATTCCTTTAGAGTTACTAATGAGGCAAGGCAAAGATGCAGAGGAATCTCAGGCAAGTCCTACAGGATAAAAGAACAAGAGAAAATGGAAAATTAAATCCCACACGAACCTTGCATTTTTCCATTCTCTTCCATCGCAGCTGGGCATTTGCAGCAGCCATGGCTTCCACCACAAAGGTCGTAGTCATATAGCTAGAGAGAGAAATTCAGTTCTGTCATGGTTATCAATAATAGCCAAGAACTGAAGGAAGATAGAGAATTCTAGATAGATAGAATAGAAAATAGATAGATAGATAGATAGAAAATCTCCTGTTTGTAGGAGCAAACAAACAAACCAAAACAACCCTTTCACCAGCTCCCCACACACACTGCGTTTCTGGTACAATGTTTCGTCTCAGTTTGCTGCTCCCTTCTGTTCTTGAGATTAAGGTGTTCAAGCAGACCACAAATGCAGTAAAATACAACATGCCTTCAGATATAAGACGACACTTTAGATATCTGGAAGGCACCTTCCTATTGTTTCTGTTGGTTGAAGAAGGCAAGAGGACTTCCCCTTTTGTTAGAAAGCAAGCTTCCTTCCTCTTTTTAGGGCCTAGGATGAACACAGTACTATTCTGAAGCTTATCTATTAGGGCCTGTGGCAAAGGTACTACGGTCCCCTAAAGAATCTTACAAATGGCATGAGAAGCAAAGCAGCAACACAAGACCAAGGAGCAGATCACACATGCACGCAAATACACTTTGCTGGAGGCCAGGGGAAAAGCTGTCCAGGGAGACAGTGAGAGCCACTGATGGAAGGAGTATCATTATCTCAGCTAAAACCAGTCCTATAAAAAAGAAAAAACAAACCTTAAATCAATCTTATTTAAGGCTTTAAAGTGGTTTCTCACTTCAGAAACTGGACTCAGTTATCAAGCTCAAATGAGAGATCAGTTTTGCAAGAATAAAAGAAAGCAGCCCTGTCCTAAGGCCCATGTAGCAATTTCCACCTAGAGTCTTCTTGCACTGAAGTGTCCCCAACAGGCATGAGGAAGTCACAAGCACCAGAATAAAAGCAACAGGGCAATGCAGCTCCCAAGGCACATAGTACTTTGAGCTGCATCTTCTCAGTTTAATCCAGTGCAGTTTTGGTACGCAGGTTTGGAGGTTTGTGCTCTTCTGCTGACCTTGAAGGATAGTCTGCTGGTGTTGAATTTCATACACTGAATTTATGCTTTTAAACTAGTATCTAAAAGGAATTGCTTCCAAAGTTCCCAGTTACTGGTACTCCCACAGTTTACATTTTATCAAGCCTTTGCAGCATACAGCTTTGAGCTGGGGAACTTACAAGCATTGCTACAGTCAGTACTGATCATACAGTACAGATCCGAAAAGCACTGCCTCTAAATGAAAGGCACACTCAGGCTGACAGAGCTGGTTACTGACAAGAAAGGAACTTCTAAATTCCATTCTTACAAACGGCAGGAGGGGATTTTGTTTTATTTTATTTTAAAACCACACAAGAAGCAAGCAGGGATTCACAGCCCATCAGAAGATGGCAATTCTATTAATAACTACTTAAACATCAGTGCTGTGTCAACAGCCTTCAGCTCCACCTGCTGCTCCAGCAGGGAGACATCTGGGCAGAAGCTCATGGTGAGCCACTGTGAAAATCATGAGACCAGCTCCAAGGTCTCAAGCAGCAAAGGTGTGAGGGGGAATAAGACGGGCCCAGATATACAGTAATTTGTTTTCCTGACACCCTTGCAACTGCCCAGAGCATTGCCAGAAGCCAAGAGAAAACTAACACAACAGGTCTGCATCACATCTGCAAGTCACAAAGCAGAGAAATGACCCCGTGTCACCTGTGACATGATTAGTGTTTGGGGAACTGATCTGTGACAGAGACAAGCATGGGATGTATCCACAGTGAGGACAGTATGAAAAAAGGAAGCTGGAAGAAAGGTCCCAGAAGGCTCTGGACTGGAGAAAAAGTCTTTCCCATCAGTCAGGAAATGGGATGTAGCACCATATTGCAGGCAGTCAGAAAATGCATCCCTCCAAATAAGGTCCACAGGCAACACAACTGCAGGGACCAATGCTCAAGCAGCAGAGGGATAGGATCACTCAGAAAAGCGGCAAAAGTCTTAGCGCTGTCCTTACAGCCCCACCCAACTGAACCCCCCAATCCCCTAAAGACACATACTCATATCCTACCTCATAAATCCCAGGAACATTAGGAGAACGAGGCTGACGAGCCACCCTGCTGTTGCAAAGGCCTTCGGCATGGTTAGGGCTCCTGTTCCGACAATGAGGTTGAACATGTAAACCAGACCAACCTGCAATCATCCACATAATCCAACATGAGAATTTGCAGCTGTACCAGAGATCATCCAAGACACCTCACATACGTACTGATTTAAATGGAGAGAGAAAAATCTTCGAGCAAGCAGGGTGGGAGCAAGCCCATGCTAGAAATAAATACGGGAAGGGACTGATAACCAAAGAAAACAAAGTAAGTGTCAGCACATTTCTGGAGAAACTGATATTCCTCTCCATTTTTCTAATCATTTTTAAATATATTTTTTCTTTCTAACTTTTAAAGTTAGAAAGCATGTGAGCTTTTTGTTTGTTTGTTTTCAAATCCACTGCCTTCTACCAGAAGGGTCTACACTGTGGGTTAGGGTCTCTCCTTGTTTTCTGACCTGAACCTAAGTAGTTATGACTACGTACATAAGTTACCTTTCAGAATCTCTTGTTCTTCTTTATTCTTAGTCAAGCAGGAAATATCCAAACAGAATTCTAATTCAAAGCCGGCTTGCCATTTTACCAGTAAGCAGCTGAGCACTGGATCCCTGAAGAAGGGATTTTACTTCTGGAAAGGAAAGCATTTTATCCTCTCTGGCAATGAGCTTTTTTCTGCCCAGGGGCAAAAGATAACTGTGCACCTGGACAGGACCCTCCCAGGCTATAAATTTAGCTGAACTCAAGATCAAAAATTGCCCAAAAATGTTTGTGGGTTTTTTTTTTTTAATATAGGTCAGAGTCTCTCCAGAGGAGAGCCAGTAAAGAACTGTGTCTGAGTACACTTTTCTGGGTGTGGACCAATTAATATCAGGAGAACTATTCCCCAGAGACCCTGCAAGCACTCTTGCCCTTCATTCACTGACAAAAGCACAGCAAATTCATCTTTTGACAAGTCTCCCAGAACGACGAAAAAAATCAGCCATTGCACCTTACAGGAAAGTTCTTTTCATTCAGCTGGCAGAGCTGTCATTCCCCGAGCACAACTCAAGTGCCCAGGGCCATGACTTACTCTTCAGTGAAGAACTCTTGAAAAAACACCTCAGGTGATTTTCCTTGACTTTGGTCAAGTAGGCAAAGATGAAAATGGTGCCTGTGTGTTCAGTCTGGCTAGACACCTTCAGGAAAAGAGGAGAGAGTCATAGCCTTTGAGATTAGACTCTAGGAAATTCATGCAACACTAACATAACAACATAAGAGCAGGTGACACTAATCCTTTAGGGACCATACATCCCAGTTACTGTCTTGTTCTCTATTTTCTCAGTTGTGACCTACTTCTGCAGCCTAATATCCACTTCTTCTAAATTCAGTCATTATCACGGGGATGAAAGTTTTAAAGCATTTGAAAGCCAACACACAGATTTCAGGACTGGTTCTATCTTCAGTGATCTGTGAGTTCACTTCAGAAAAACAAATGTATGCAAAGCACTATTTTTAAGAGCTGACGCTATATGAACACTTGCGGCTATGAAAACCAGTATTTCCAGCGACATGGTAAAACAGTAATTGGCTCAGCAGTTTCACGGGACACCACATTACAAGGAAGAAACATCTTGATGACTGGTTATAAGTATAGTGGTTTAAAACAAATTACTACAACAGTTACAAATAAGTAAACTTTAAGAAATTCAGAGGAAAACATTATATAAAGTAAAAAAAGAGAAGTGAAGTGGGATAGTTTCCATGTCACAATCCCCCGTGTTTATGCTAGCTTCACATGACAATTTGGGTTGATGAAAACATTAACAAAATACAAGAAAAGAGGGTAGACAGATGCAAGAGCTGGTATGGGGCATGAAGCTCTTTTAACACTTTTAGAACTATACTTTAAGCAGACATCGTCCCTTCACAGTATATAAAGGGTTGTGTGACATAAAAAAAACCCCTCCAAGTACAAGCATTTTTAAGTACTGTTTGACCTCCATCATCTCTTGAAACACTGAGGTTATGTCTATGGGGAACCAGGAAATGAAAACACGATGTTGAGAGAAGAGGATTTTGAAAAGACTTCTGAGCAAAACCACAAACAGCAGTACTTACATAGGGAGAGTAAAGCTCTCCTGTATCAGTAATGCCACCAGCCATGTTGAAGATGGTGGGGAGGCTCGGAGCGAAGTGAGGAGGGTGTTTTCAACTTCTATTGCCTTTAACCTAGGGAAACATCATAAAGTTGTGTTAGCTTTGTCGGAAAGAGGAGGAACTCACAAGTCAGCTTTTACACATCAGTCTTCTGACATCGGAACAGCAGGACCTCGCACTTCAACAGATTATACCCCACTCACCGGCAACAGTTGGTTCAATACTCTACTGAAAAGTTCTCGGACCCGTTAAGCTAGTTTAAAAGTAGCCAAAAGGCCCCGCCCTTTCACAGCATGTGATGACCAAACTTGACCTTCTCCAAACAGCCAGAGGGGCTGTTTCAGACACTAAAACCTCAAGAGGAATAATGCCTGCCTTGAGGATGATCTCATACCACTGCTTCTCACGCAGCTACTACTTTAGAGAGCACGTGCCTCCTGCAAATCAAAGCAGTAAAAAACCAGCCTACAGTCTGTCCTCATGATCTCAAGTAAAGAAAAAAGCAGACAAATACTGGACCTATGAAAAAAAAACCCAAGAAGTTTTGTTACATGTACCAAGGTTTCCAAAGCAGATGTATTTGGGGAACTTCACATTGTCTTAGAAAAACTACAGGGAAGAGGGAGAACTCAAGTCTTCTGAAAGGTTTCAGAGTCAATAAATAATTAGGCGTAGTTGAATTGTTTAAGAGCTTTATCAAATTCCTCATACTTCTACATATCTCCTACTTAGCCACACCAACTGGAACAAATCATCAGCACAAACTTCAAAAGCTAAGAGCACTACTAAAAAATCCAAACAGTTTGTAAGCTTACACATGCACGCTAAACAACAGAAATCGATCAGGCAGCACAGCTGACTGTGGTCATAACGAGACCGGCCCTCAGAAGAAGAGGCCAAACATCTTCTTTTATAACAGACCTCGACTCAAGTCACTGAAGCCAATCTTAACAAACCAAGAGAAAGCAGCAAGACCACAGCCATGCTAACAGACACCTCCGGGACACGGCCGAAGAAAGCCTGCGTGTGCAGGACACCCACCGCAACTCCGGAGAGGTCCTACCCCAGGGCCTGAAGCCTACCAAGGCCTCCA